TCAATAGAAAACTTAACACCTTTCCATATCCTTTTATTGTCATATTCCATTCTTTGTGCTCGTCCGTTGATAGACCATCACACCCAGCTTGAATCACTAATGCATCAGGCAGAAAGTTCATGATAAGTGGAAGGGCTATCTCTTGTATAATTCGTAACATATTAATATCACTCAAACCCCTCATAACAGGTATGTTAACTTTTGTTTTCTGTGTACTTGACAAGGACCCAGTTCCGGGATAAAAACCGATATCGTACCTATGTATGGAACAAGTCATAACATTTTTAGAAAATTCAAATGCAGATTCAACTCCATCTCCATGATGCAAATCTAGATCAAGATAAAATATTTTTCGATAGTTACGACGTAGGACATTAATGGATAACACAATATCATTTATATAGCAGAATCCCGCTGCTTTGTTTTTTTTGCAGTGATGTCTACCACCATACCAATTTATCACTATATTCTGTGCACTGTTATTTTTCCTTTCTTTGGTTAGTCTAGTCGCTGCATGAATACTTGATGCAGCAACCAAATTTACATATTCCGACATAAAGGGAAATATATAGCAATCGTGTAGTAATCCATAGGTTTCAAGCTCTGCATTATCTTCTTCCTGAGTTTCTGCATCTTCAAACGGTGTTATTTCATCAAAAGAATCACTCAATTCCAGCCCGCTTTCATTCGAATCACTTTCTTGTTTTCTATTGTACTTCTCTCCAAGTTCATTTCCCAACTTAACTATGTCAATATGTTCCTCGGGTGCTAGCGCCGGAATTTTTGGTATATCTTTGAACTCTCCAATTTTTAAAGCCTCCTGTACCCTTTTTAAGCAAGGTAAATTAACGTCAATATTTGATCTTTTTTTTAGTAAGACAAATAGGAATTGTTTCCCGTGAAAAGACTCTAAATCCTGTCTTTTAATTCGTGTCACTCCAATTATATCTTGACACTTACGGTCTAATTCATAAGCTTTGATTAAAGAAGTTACTAACGACAGTCTACCCCTATTAGCTGGAAGTAGATCTACTATTTCAGATAGCGGTTCAGATGAAGTAATCCATACTTTCCTGGTTATTGTTAAATCCGTTGGCTCCTTTGATTTGACATCATTTTCGAATAACATTGGTTGAAACGTACGTATTTTGATATTATATAAATTTCGCGTCCATTAAATAATCGTATCTATATAATTCTGAGTACAGTATTCATTTATTACTGGAACAATGTATTTAGTTATTACAGTATTCCAGTCATTGATTGCTAATTTTACAAGCAGATCATCGCTTTGGCTGCTTCGCTTTACGTTTTGTATAGAATTTTGATATTCTAGATTGCAACGCAAGCATTTGATCAAATTCAAGCATCTGCTCAAATTGTCTTGTTTTAGGAGCTCTCTTAAATAATTTGTAAATATTTGCACGTCATCTAAATGTGGACCACCCTGATTTAATGACATAAAAACCCATCCCTCTATAGATTTGCTAATTTCAAAAAATGAGCTTCCTTGGTTTAAAAATAGTGGGGCATTAATCAACTTTGGTTGCATCGAAATCCATTCTTGAGTAATTTTGAATCGACCAACACTGTTCTTTTTCCTGTATTTCCTATCCATCTTCTCCCTCATAGGAGTTAAATCAAAGTTTTTAATTTTGTTTTTATACTCTAAGTCTTTCAAAACTGCTGTTTTAATAGACGAGGGTAATTCGTTCAAAACTGAATCATCATATGATCCAGAATCGTTGTAAACATTTGACGTTTGTTTTTTAACAGGAGATGGTGATGCCGAGACCTTCTTCCTCTTTCTGGGTGACTTTGTTGGTGACTTTGTTGGCGATTCTATAACTCGAACATATTTGGGAGGTCCCTTTAATTGAGAAGGTATCAATTGTTGCAAATATGCCTTAGGCTTTTTGAGGTCAGACACAATATACATTTCTTCCTTTTTTGGGCATTTCCTTGGTTCTATAAATTGAACATCCTTCTTCGAAATACCACGCCGTGAAAGCTCAGATTGTAGCTCGTTTTTTATTTCCTCGGGCAATTCATTAAATACTTCCCAATCAATATTCTCGTTTTCCAACGGATCACTATATTTCTTCACAGTAGATACTTTTGGTGACGTATCCTTTTCATGGAATTTAATCTTTTTTACTTGATTGAAAGGTAATCTCATCTGCCTTATTTTTTTTAAATTCTCAACATCTTCGAGCTTATTCATGGTGATAGCGATACCACGTAATTCCTTAACAGGAACATTAACCATTCTAAATAAAGCCTTTAATTCAGATCCTATAATACCCCAGTCATTTGTCGGAACACCTAATTTGGAAGATTTACTAACAAAATCACATAAGCCCATACCTAAATATTTTGGTGGGTCAATAGGTGCATCATGAGCTCTCTTGGCTAACCTTAAAGTAATACTCGAACCACACATTCTTAAAGAGATCAATCGCGAATACAATTCTTTAGATAAGTTCATCAAGAATACTTCAACCTGTGGTACAGTATCGAACCTTATACCAAAATTAACATCAACGGAGACTGATTTTCTCCCGAGAACAGATTCGCTATTGTTTAAATCTAGTTTAATACTTGAATTATCGATTCCTCTTGCAAATTGGTATAGCTTTGTACCGGTCTTCTTTCCAAAAATATCCATCAACCTTAATTCCGTGAAAGGTTTTAAGTCCTTTATTAATGGCTCTTGGCTAGATATGTCTTGAATTTTCTCTATTAATTTGTATTTAATACTGTTCCCGATACCTGGTAAATCCCTGACTGGAATATTATCTAAAAATTCATCAACCTTTTCGTGAAGATAAAATTGTCCGTTAGGCTTTGCCTTTTTCAAGGCTAGTTTGGCTAGTAAAACATTATAGGAAGCCCCGACGCTAACAGAGCAATTTGTAAGGTTGAATATATCTTTCCTTATTGTTTGTGAAAGCTCGTTGACGATATCCTCAGGTAACCTCCCACTTTCCAAACAAAAAGAAGTTGCATCTAGCAATACCTCATCAATCAGCACCGGGAATATATGGTCAAATATTCCACGAGAAATTAAATAATCATAAAACTCAGCGGAATATCTCTCATATGCATCAAAATCATAATCTAATTGAATTAATTCAGGACATAATTGTTTTGCTTTACCAGACCACATACCGTTGCGAACTCCAAATTTTCTTGCTACATAATTACAACTGGCAATATCAGAAGTACGTCCCCCGTGAGTTACAGCAATTGGATCCTTATTTATATCTAAATTGTGATGGTTCAAACATGAAGCTGTCGCAAAGAAACAATCGAAATCTACATGTAGAATAGTCCTTTTCTCGGAATTTCCTAATATATGATTCCAATTACCTTCATTTTGATTTTTCTCATGCGCAACCTTTCTTAAGAACTTCAATCTGAGATCTGCCTTCCAGGTACTTAAATGATGAAGTCTTGAATTTGCAAAAAAGTGCTTGAGGAAATCTGGATGCTTTGCATCCATCGCAATCTTCTGAATCCTAGAAACAACTTTGTCTGGTGCTTCTTTATTAGAATTTTCTTTTTCTAATTCTGGTAGCTCATTCTCTTCCATGTCATCTTCAGGTTGCTCCGATAAAATTTTGTCAAGTATACTCTCATTTTCCGACTCTTCTTCTTCTTCTTCTTCTTCTTCTTCTTCTTCCTCTTCTTTATCTTCATCTTGCATTTCTGATCCTTCGGTTTCTTCTCCTGTTCCTTTTTTCTTGTGAAGATCTTCTATATCTTCCTCCGTTGCAAAATTTAATCGTTTTTGGCCGTACGACACTTCTTGCATTAATCTGTAGTTAGTCCAATCTAGCAAATCATTCTTTTCAATGCAATCGGTGATCCATTTGGCACGCACCACTTTATAGTTCTTGAATTCAATTCTTTTTCTGGGCGTTAGTCTATCACACACAATATGTGTAGCAGAACCCTTGTTTGATAAATAGCCTAGAAATTTTCCCCCGTGAAGAATTACTAGACGGTGGATTTCATTAATTGAAGGTACAGTATGGCCATTAACATGAATTACACACCCCTCGAATATAGGCTTACGTATCTCTATATTTTCATCCTTATTTTGATATTTTCTCCTTTCAAGGTCCCATTTGATATATTCTTTATCCGCCTTTTGCTGTTTTACATGCTTGTTATGGAAATAAGTAGCGTAATCCCCAAATTCATGTTTCGGTAACATTCTACCTTCCGTTTCACTTCCTCCTTCACCTTCAGAACTATCTTCCACGTAATCGGCCACACGATCAATCTCTGACTGTCCTTCTTCGCTTTCGCCTGAAAATTCCTCTGGCACCGCAAAATTCCGTTCCACCGGCCTATCTTCGCCCAGTTCCTGGCTCTTGTATCCAGCATGACTGATCTCAAGTAATTTGCCTGTAAAACTCGTCCGTCTTGAATGTATATTCGCCAAAACATCATCCAACCCATCATCAAATGGATCTGAACTTAACGACACCATGCTCCTAAAACTGGAACTCACATCTCCCAAGGCCCCTTTTCCCGCTTCTACAGGGGTTGATTCTCCCCGTATGTCATCTAAGACTATGTTGTCGCTTTTCAGCTCCTGTTGACTTAAACTATTGATATGAGATATCAACTGACTATCATCTAAACTTCGTAAAAACCTTTGGTACTGGCTACCATTTTCCTCATTTTCTTCACTCATCAAACACTAAAACAGCTCCTACTGTCCATGTCACCTTCAAATTGTCCATATATACTATACGAACAGCCTTGCAACCGTAATCAAAACTACCCTTGTCTGAAATCAGATTAGAAATATCGAATCATGCGGTCATGTGATTTATGGATTTTTTTAATGAACAGCGCAAGTTAAATCTGTTGATGAATCAGAAGATAAACAAAAGATAAATAGACCTAAGAATTATAATAAAGTTATTAGATTAATCCATAATGGTATGTAAAAACGTGGTAGTTTGGTATTTAATTATTGAAACATGCAGTTAAACGTATTTAAATTGAGTATTAAGAATTGAGATTCATACCATTGGTTGTTTCTATAAATAGAGGCGTTTATGATTGAAATAGAAGTACTAACTTATTCTAGGCTGAAAAATTATCTGAGCAACAAATCGCTGAATTTAAGGAAGCTTTTTCCTTGTTCGATAAGGATGGAGATGGAAAAATCACGACTAAGGAATTAGGTACTGTGATGAGATCGTTAGGTCAAAACCCATCAGAAAGTGAATTGACTGATATGATTAACGAAGTTGATGTCGACAGTGATGGCTCTATTGATTTCCCAGAATTTTTGACGATGATGGCTAGAAAGATGAAAGATACCGATTCAGAGGCTGAAATTGCAGAGGCTTTCAAAGTTTTCGACAGAAACGGAGATGGTAAGATCAGTGCTGCTGAATTAAGACATGTTTTGACCTCCATTGGGGAAAAGTTATCTGACGCTGATGTTGATCAAATGATTAGAGAAGCAGATGTTAACAACGACGGTGAAATCGATATTCAAGAATTTACTCAATTATTATCTACTAAATAGATCCTTTTTATTGTTTGACGTGTTTATTTCCTGGTTTCACATTGCGCCATGATACTGCGTTTCTTATTTGCTGCTATCATATTTTGGGTTGGTAGTTATTCTCTATTTATGTTTTATAGTTTTAGGTATGTATCCTATTAATTTGCTGACTTCATTAAACTATGTATTTTCAATACTCCTACCTACCGTCCATAATATTACACATAAATTATTTAATTCGAATAAACAATATATATTGATTAATATATAGTGATACACAGCACTTGAAGTACATTTAACAAGTCTAAACTAATTTCTTAATGAATGAAACCTCCCTATTTTACCCGATGACGGACTTCTTAGTATATTAGGAGGGGTGGAAGATATCCTTGGTCTAGGAAGAGCATGACGATCACCAATATCGTAGAGACCATCTTTATTATTGCCCGATTTGTCACCCTCTTCAAAATGATCGTTATCAAAAGTCAAATCATCAACATTTCTGTTAATTAAATAACGTAAAGCATTATACCATATGTTATGGCGTTGTCTTGTAGCACATGTTATTTTAATTGATCTATTCTGAGAATGAATAATAATACTTTTATGGTATAAACCTGTTGGTAAAGGATTATTGTCTTCAACACTTTGAACACCAATAATCGCAGCTGCCCGGGTTTTAAGTTCAGCTGGGTTAGTAAGTACAGGATTCGATGACGACCAGTAAAGGGTTAACGAATATGGATGAACCCAGAAATATCTTTCATGACGACTCTCTGAAATTGAGCTCAACGGACCTAAACGGCGATAGTATTTGAATAAATATTCTCCAATAACAACTTGTGTAATTGCCGGTATCATAGCTTTATCAGTTAATGAAACGTTTGTTGCCATTGAGAGAACTCCAGTAGTGTTAATTGAATCGTTAATACTGTTGACATTGGAATGATGTGACAAATTGGATCTGATTGAATTGGATGCGGTTAAGGTGTTCATTTGTTTATGGTACGAACCGGCTGATCCAAATGATGGAGGACTCCTTATGTTCCCTCCAGATGGTGGTGAGAATTTTGAAACTAAATTCATTTCAGGACTTCCACTGTTTGATTTTGAAACAACCTGTAAAGTATCCTTATGGGCATATCCACGTTTCTCTGCATACTTCTTGAAGGTTTCATCAGAAACTTTTTCAATGCACAAAGAATCGTTTCTTGTCAATTTGTTATAATAAGTCGTCGGTATAACTGTGACCTTGTTCACATCAGCAGTCCTTGAAACTGTAGTTGCAACAAAGGCAGATTTCGGTACACATAAAAGTCCTAATTTTCTACCAACTTCGGTCAACTTATCTTTATCTTCTACTATTCTCGATAACTTTTCAAACGTGGCATAATCGTCTTCTGTAATAACTGATAACCCTAATTCGGAAGCGACTGAAGTAAGCTCGGCCACTGATAAATTTATCCGAGGAGGATTTTTACCAATATTGGCAAGCGATTTTAATTCATGATAATCTTTCTTTTCTAATAAAACCATATCAATTTCAGACAGCTTGTTAATTAGTGCTTCTCTACTAAAATCTGACTCTGAATTTCTACTCAAATTAAATATTTGGGAATCTTTTTCTGCAATGCTTTGCTTCATCTTCAATATATCAACCTCTGGTACCAATATGAGAGACAAATCTTTCGCCTGGTCTCGCAAACGTTGTTCGCACAATCTTGGGTTTGAAAGATCTTCATATTCTTGGTTGGGGATCACAGCCATATCGATCTTTGCTGCCTGCTTAGTCAACTTATCGACATCAAAGTCTCCAGTCAGGTCGCTTCCACTGATAGCACTCAAGTCCGAAACTGGTGCACCCTTTTCTATAAAACTCTCCCCAGAGCTTATTCTATAACCACGATTCTCTGCCATTTCAATAATCTCTGCGTCTGAAACGTCTTTTAGTTTATCATCAACAGACTTTTCGATAGATTCAAACTCCTCAATTGGCATGATGTGTAAACCACAGTCTTGTGCTTTTGTTGAAAGAAATTCAGGAGTAGGGTTGTTCAATTGTGATTTCAAATTATCATATTCAGCCTTGTCAATGGCTACTAAACCAAGAGATTTAGCTTTTTCATCTAAAGGTTGATTGGCTATAAACAGCAACTGCTCGTATTCTTCAAGTGATAAGACCGTTAACCCATTTATCAATGCATTGTTTTTGATACTATCAATTGACGGCTTGTTAGCTCTGACTAATAATTCATTATATTCTTCGGGGCAAATTATTTTCTTTTCTGATTCTTTTGCATGCTCTTCCAAAGATCTATTCGCAACAGATTTCAAGCTATCATACTTGTCTGCTTCAACGACTGTATGTCCTTGAGTAGAAGCCTTCTCCATTAAGTATTCCAATGATGGATTTGTTATCTTTCCTTGCAAATTATCAAATTCAGTGATTGATATGATTCGTTGCTTTCTACATGCAGCTTTAACTTCCAATGGCTCCTCCATTGACTTATGCAATTTATCTAATTCCTTCGATTCTATAATAGAGAAACCACGAAGGTTTGCCTTTTCCAGGATATAGTCTAATGAAGGTGATTCAAATTTTTGATATTCTTCCAATGTTAGCAACTTTAGATTTGCAGCCTCGGCCTTCAGAGTTAGTGGTTCAACTGCACTTTTCTCTAAATTCTCAAATTCGTCAATCGGAATAACCTTCATTTGTATTTTAGCGGCCTTATCTTCTATAGACTCAGAAGCAACTTTTTGTAATTCCTTCAAATCTTTTGCACCAATCAACTTCAATGACAATTTATCGGCCTTGTTCTGAATTGATTCATTAGCTCTGCTCTCTAAGTCTATAAATTCTGGGCGGCTTATTATAATATGTCCTTGCTTTTCAGCCTTTTCTTTAATATGATCCAATGAAGGGCTATCTATTAAATTTCTGAATTCGGCTAATTCTCCAGTTAAAATAAGAGAATGATCATATTTTAGAGATTTCTCTTTAATATGATCTAAACCTGGATCGTTAGCCTTAGCACGTAAATCTTCGTACATAGACGTTTCTATGATCGTTTTATTTAAAACACTGTTTTTATATTCTGCAGCTTCATCATTCAACTTCTCATATTCACTCTCAGGTACAACTAAGTGGTTATGAACCTTCAGCTTCTCAGAAAGACTCTCCAACGTAGGGTTTTCGACCTGTTTCTTTAAAGCCTCATATTCACCCTTAGGCACAACTAAGTGGTCGTGAATCTTCAGCTTCTCCGATAGGCTCTCCAACGTAGGGTCTTCGACCTGTTTCTTTAAAGCCTCATATTCACCTTTAGGCACAACTAAGTGGTTGTAAATCTTCAGCTTCTCCGATAGGCTCTCTAAAGTAGGGGTTTCGACTTGTTTCTTTAAAATCTCATATTCACTATTAGGTATAACCATATGGTCGTGAACCTTCAGCTTCTCGGAAAGACTCTCCAACGTAGGGCTATCAATTCGTTCCATTAGTTTGTCGTAATCAACAAATGAAATCGGCTGTATGTTTTGTCTCTTAGCTTTAACTTCGAATGGTTCATTAAACGACGAAATTAAGTTGTCATATTTCTCTTGAGGCACCGCCACATGATTATAATTATCCAACTTTTCAGTAATATGCTCGAGTGAAGGTGACTCCACTTTCTCGATCACTTTCTGTAAGTTATCTTTGACAGCATCAGTTTGACCCTCTTCAAGCGCTTTCGCGTCCATCTTCATACCAAAATGGCACCATAATGCGTCTAAGTCAGACATTGGTAAAGCAAGCATGCTTGATTCCTTCGCAATTTCATGAACTGACTTTTTAGAATGTTCTTTGAGTTTGAAGTATTCTTCGTTGGTTATCATCATCATATCTAATCCTTCTGCCTTTCTTGACAAGTATGAAGTAGATGGCGACGCGATTTCTTCTGTCAACTTATTGAATTCTTCGACAGAAAGTACCTTCATACCAAGCTCTTCGGCCTTTTGATGAATAGGCTTTTCTGCATCATAACATAATTTACCTAAATCTGACGAAAGTATTAAGGTATAGCCATAACATTCAGCTTTTGTAGTAATATGTTCAATACTTGGATTGTCGATACTGTTTTTCATCAAATCATAGTCTTCAATACCAATAACTTTCATATTCTCCTCATTTGCTCTGTCAATCAAAGATTTATTCGCAGTCTTCAACAATGAAGAATGTTCATTTTTGGGTAAAACAGTATGATCAAGTAACATGGCTTTTTCGGAAACATGTTCAAGTGTAGGACTTGTGACTTTTGAATTTAAATCATCGTATTGACTGCTTTCCATCACAGTCAATCCTATTAATGACGCAACTGAATGTAAATGAGACCAATCCGGATGATGAGCTAGTCTGACTAGTTCATCATATTCGCTTTGATTCAATAGAACAGATCCGATTGATTTCGTTTTGTCTTCTAAATAATCTTTTGATGGATTTAAAACCTTTTCATTTAATTCATCAAATTCACCTTGAGGTACCATTGTATACCCATTGTTTGAAGCCTTCTCTGTTAAGAATGAAATCGACGGCGAGGAAATAGTTTCTTGGAAATTGTCATATGTGGACTTTTCGATACCAATAAGCCCGATTTTGGAAACATACTCAAGTATTTTTTCACGACTTGGGTT